TTTGTCATGGATGCTTCAGCTAAGATTCCTGCATGACCTGCATGGTCCCTTCCAACTCTACAGTTCTACGATTCTCTAAGCCCCTATTGACTATGGTCCTACATTCATTAGCTGCATCTCAGCTGGACTACCATAATGGATATATGTGCCACTGCCCGTGAAAACTACTCTGATGTATCGGTTGGTACAGAATTCTGCTGCTAAAAATTTGACTTGGACAAGAAGCAGAGATCATGTGGCCCCTTCATTGTCTCAGCTGCAGAGGGAGCTATTTTCAGCACAAGGGGTGAATTCTCTTCTGGAAAACCTTCCAGGGGCCGCATGCCACTGGTGGGAGGGGCCAGAGGCAAAAATTGACAGAGCAATGAAGGCTGACTAGATCTTTGTACCGTAGGCTAGTTTCTACAAACACTCTCACACACCCCTCTCTCCTCCATTCAAGGAGGCATGATCAGAGCTAGAGGGCATATTGCAGCTAGGCAAAAACAGCTGAGGAGGGTTCAAAGTAGTGCTGGGGAGAGTCCCATATAAAGAGGCTTGTGGGGGCACATTTGGCCCCCAGGCTTGGGGTCCCCAAGAGCATCTGTGGGTGTTTCCCTTGCATGTTCCCTTGCCTTTGAGGAGACTTGCTGGCAAGCCGGGAGTGTTTTTATGGTGTGCGTGTGTTGTGGTCAGACCTCATATGTGGAACTCCCTGCTTCAAGAGGTTAAATCATCTTCCTCCTTATTTGTGTTTACTAGCGATGGAAAACTTTGCTTTTTAAACAAGCTTTTGATTCTGTTGCTGCTGTATTGATTGGTTGGTACTGCTCTTTTGATGCTGTTTCTAAGTTTGTGTGTCAATGATTGGATTACTGTGACGGTTTTCTGTGATCCTGTAGCACATTAAGTTGCCATTCTTTATGATGCCATCAGCAAGAGGTGGCCATCAATTTGCTCATCATCTTTGGCATCTTTTTAAACCTTTGGAATCATTCTTCAAACACTCCTCCTTTGTGACCTTCCTTTTCACTATCTGAAGCCAATTCTGCCATCTGAAAGGAATTCACTCCAGCCCTTTCTCCTTTTTGCTCCTTCTGTCCTCTCCTGAACCATCCCACCTTCTCTTTATCATCCTACAACAACTGTGCCTTTCCAACTCTTCTCGTTGTTTGTTTTTAATTTGCACCCGGAAAACTCTGACTGTGAGTAACCACAAATTAAATTTTACAACTTGCCTTAAGTGAATTTTAAAAGCACACTAAAATTATAAAAGCACACTTGAAACTTTTGGGAAAGCTCCCAAGGGGAAAGGGTCCCACGGTTGTAGATTGTGATAGTGATCATAAAGCTCAATAAAACTCTTCTGGTCTAGGGATCACCTGGGTGTGTGTTAGGATTGTTGCACATGCAGAGCAGGTCTGCAGATCATTTTCTGCTTACACAAGGAAAGGATGCAAAGTGAGTGGTCATTCAGTGCTTCCAGAGTAGTTGTGCACATACTAATGAAAGAGGAGATTCCTCTCTGTATCAGAAGTACTATATGTTGCACTAATCATGGGACCTACAGTATTTCCCCAAAGGTATCTGCAACCAGAGGTTTCCCCTTTATATATATAAAAAAGGTGAATGATAGGAGGGATACTACTGTCCTCCGGCATTTGCCACCTGAGGCATCCGCCTCACTCTGTCTAGTGGTAGGGCTGGCCAAGCTCAACTTATATCAAAATGTATGTGCTAAGATAGTTCATTTTTATGGTAAGAAACACTTTACTGTTTCATAGTCTACTCACACTGGAAACATCATATCTAAACTATTAACATTAGGCAAACAAAACAAACAAAGCCTTGGCTAAGTATATAATACATGTGTTTGTCATTTAGTATATGTAATTGCTTATGGCAATCATTGCAGCCTTTTAACCTGAGTTCCAAGAGCAAAACGTTCAGTGTTCCTTCCCAAAACAAACTTACGGATCAGATATTCATTCTTGATCCTGCCCTGCAGCAATGCTACTGCTGAACACATAAACATTTATTGTACTGATAATTCGGTAATGGTAATCCCACTTCATCTTTCTACAGCTTTTCCCAAATCCTCCTAGTAGAAACCAGCTGGAGAAAATGGCTCAGGGCACATCACATAAAGGAGGAAAAGGACACAGAAGCACCACAGAGCTGAGGTGCTGGGTAGTAAACAGTCCTCAAAAAAATTGGAATCGGCCCACATTCCATATGGTCTGTTGGAGGGTTTTGAGGAAGGCTGGTGGGGAATATGACTGGTGAGAACCCCAAGCTCTAAACACAGAAGTTTAGAGGTTCTCATTCTGCCTCTGGACTTTGAGGTATCCCCACCCCACTTTAAGTCTCCACCACCATCGCTCAGCTCAAACACTGAGGTCCTCCTCCGAGGATCTTCTGCAGGTTCCCTCACTGCAAGAAGTGAAGTTACAGGGAACCAGGCAGAGGGCCTTCTCAGTAGTGGCACCCTCCCTGTGGAACACCCTCCTTTCAGATGTCAAGGAGATAAAGAACTGCACAACATTTAGAAGACATCTGAAGGCAGCCCTATATCAGGACGTTTTTAATGTTTGATGTTTTATTATGTTTTTATATATGCTGTAAGCTGCCCAGAGTGGCTGGGGAAACCCAGCCAGATGGGCGGGGAATCATCATCATCATCACCCACTATTTTATGTTCCTTTTGAGGAGACTTGTAGTCCAGTATTGTCAACATGGCATAGTGGGTTTTCCTAGGGAAATGCAGGGGTGGGGAATCTGTGAAGTTGACTGTAGCTGAAGGGCTGAAGGGGGGGGGCAATTGAGAGCTGCAGTAGTGCATAGAAAAGCATTATCTGGGTGCCCGGCCCAACCACAGATGGACAGCAGGTCTACTCATTGAGAAATGATGGAGAGGTAGACCTGGAGTACAAGTTTCCTAGTGGCCAGCTCTACCCAGGCCTCACCATTGCTCAGTCATCAGCTCTACCAGAAATAGCAGGCCTGTTGCCTGAGTCTAGTTATGTATGTTTGTTTGGAGAACTATATATACAGCTTGGCATACAAACAGAGAAGCAGGCAGGTGAAGGGGATTGGTCTACTGAACTAGTGACAGAAAAAATGTTCATTCTGTGTTAAGATCCTAATTAATTAGATATCTAGGCTGGGAAAACTTTCAGCCTAGAAAAGTCCTCTAAAGCTGGTGCCAGTTTGAGTGGATAGGCTTCCCCAACCTGGTCAGACTACCACTCTCACCAGCTGGAGGTTTTGTTCATCTTAAAGAGCACCAGGTTGGAGAAGGCTGGACTAAGGCAGCTTCCTTAGGGTGTTCCTGGCTGTCTTTCCCTAAGTCACAGTAGTAGTAGATTATTTTCCCTCCTTCTTAGGTCTCTGACAGTGTCTCTGTTGCCAGAGAAGTGGCACCCAAAGACATCTGAAGCATTATTTTGCAGAAGAATTTGTGCCACCACAAGCCAAAGTGGCTCATCTGCTCCGTGTGATGTGGCCTGCCAAGGACATGACACACCTCAATTTTCCAGTTCCCATGCAGGAAGCAGGTGCTTTACAGAGCACCTTGCAAGTAGCTGTGTCACATGTAGTGCTGGAGTTGATTGCTTACCAGATTACTGGACCAGGAACAACCCATTACAAATGGGTTAAGGAAGTGGTACACAGGCCTGTGTTATCTTTTGGCTGAAGGGTGTGCAACTGTCTCCCTGACTGAGGCCTTGAAAGGTTTTACTGAATTTCACATGATTTATGTAAATTTCCCAACTGTTGGCTCTGGACCTTTAAATTGTAAGGGTCTATCCAAGTGCTTTCTGTGACATCAGAGGAGGCATGCAACCTTCAAAGAAGATCAGCTGACAGTGTTAAGAGAGGCAGGACAGGCAAATAATTCAGAAATCAAGGAAGGTAATGCAAGTCTGAAAGGGTTGGAGGATTAGGATTCTGAGGAGGATCCTTCTAAGTATGAGCTTTGCTGAGACACTATCCACGTGACCACTCTGGACTTGCTGTGACTTGGACATAGATGAGACTGCAAAATTACAAGTGTATTTGATAGACAATTCTATAAATAATTGGCAATTAAGGAAAGTTTTCTGAGTAAGACGCCATGCATATATATTATCCACTGTCATGCACAAGCTGTCTCATGCTGAGTTGTTTTCTGTTTGGAAGTAATGCTCTTACTCTTTAAATCTGTAGTCTTGACCTCTTACATTTTTGTGTGTTTTTTTTAACTGTGCGTGAAAAGTGCTTGACAGGCCCTGATGCCGGTAAAGTAGATTGTATACATAATGCATGCCAATTCTTGTAGTGCTTGTTGATCTGGAACAAATTTAATCTTGCAGTGACCTTTCTTAAAGGAATATACAGTTGCTGACATTGCTAAGTATCGAGTCCCTTCCTGCATACCGAGTATGGAAAACAATGTATTCCCTTTTGCTTGAAGTGTGGCTATTGCTAGATCCAAAATTATCTGCTATCAGGATGGTGAGAAATACAGTGTGGGATTAGACTCGTGGATGCCTGCACAAGGACTTCCACTAACGCAATGGGGCTTTGCCTCCTCTTCTGCCCCCATCTCCCCAAACTGGCTTAGGGGGGTCAGGAGAACCTTAAGAACAGCATATGGGGGAATAATTCCATCTGGCAAGCTGAAAATCTTCTCCAACAATGACTGGGCTGAGGAATTAGCAGCCGTTCCCAATAACCTACTATTCCAGTTCCGAATTCAGATGTAACAGAAAATAAGCGCAAGACACGATGAGTCTTGGATTCATGCACTACATTTGTATAGGATTTCATTGGACTCCAATTCCCATGAGCCCCAGTCAACATGGCCAGTGGCCAGGGATGATGGACGTTTTAGTCCAGCAGCATCTGAAGAGCTATGCATTTCCCACCCCACTTTAGCAGAACATTTAATGATATTTTTCTATATAGCACATAATTAAATTTAAGCTTTATTTTATATAGAACCACTAAATAACCTTTAATGTCCTTTCTGTCTGTAGGTTGGAAATCTTCCAAATGATTATATGATAACCCTTAAATATGTCCGGAAGATGGACAGTCTGGTATGTACAACTGCTTAAATTATATTCTTTGTAAAACAACCACGGGAGTCCTTGATTATTCTTGTTTTCTGCTCTTATGAGATGAGAACTTCAGGTTTTGTTAAAGCTCTTACTAAACAAAGGCCTTTCAAAAGCTATTTACTTCAAAAGATATTGATCAGTACTAAGACTCAGTGGTTTCTGTGGGTAAGTTAAGCTTAAACCAGGAGTGGCTAAGCTTCAGCCCAGCACACCCTATGACCCCCACAAATTTGGGCAGATCTAAGAAGGGTAAATATATGCAATGCTCTGCCCAGTCCAACACCCTCATTGGGACAGAAATTACCTCCTCATCCATTATTGGATCAGTCATTTAATGCATGGAGGTGAGATTTAATCGCACTTCTTCAAATGATCTGCCTAAATCCACTGATGAGGAGGCCTATGTTCCCATGTGTGTATTCTACGTGGGACTACCTTTGAAGGTGACTCGGAAACTGCAACTAATCCAAAATGCAGCAGCTAGACTAGTGACTGGGAGTGGCTGCCGAGACCTACATTGGCTCCCAGCATGTTTCCAAGCACAATTCAAAGTGTTAGTGTTGACTTTTAAAGCCCTAAACGGCCTCAGCCCAGTATATCTGAAGGAGCGCCTCCACCCCCATTGTTCAGCCTGGGCACTGAGGTCCAGCAGCGAGGGGCTTGTGGCAGTTCCCTCACTACGAGAAGTGAGGTTACAGGGAACCAAGCAGAGGGCCTTCTCGGTAGTGGTGCCTGCGCTGTGGAATGCCCTCCCATCGGATGTCAAGGGAATAAACAACTATCTGACTTTTAGAAGACACCTGAAGGCAGCCCTGTTTAGGGAAGTTTTTAATGTTTGAAGTTTTATTCTGTTTTTAATGTTCTGTTGGAAGCTGCCCAGAGTGGATTATTATTATTATTATTATTATTATTATTATTATTATTATTATTATTATTCTGTGAGAGAGTTTATTGAGGAGTGTGGGATAGCAATGCCCCTTTTTGGCCACACCCAGAAAGGGATGCTCTGCCCCAAGCCTGGACCACAGGTGAATGCCCTCAGGGGAAAAACAACAACAGCTAACAACCCCTGGCTTAAACCTTTCCCCTTACCATTAACCACACTATATTTCTGCTTGAGAGTGCCCCATATCTTTTCTTTAGTGATAAAATGCAATAAATGCTCCTTAGTGTGCAAGGCAGAGAATATAGATTTTTGGTTTGAATCTTTGATTTATATTTTCGATCCTATTGTACAGTGACTTTGGCAGCAAAAGGGATAAGCCTATGTATAATTATCATTTCCACAGTGGAAATCCATATAAGACACTGCCAGAGATAAAGGAGGTGAACAGCTTCTTTAGTTGTGATAATTATTATGATTATCTCTTTAATGAATGCACCGGGTAATCAAAAGTATATTTTATTTCCCTGACATATATGCCTTTCTTTGTTGTTTTCTTGCATAATTCTGCCAGTCCTAAATGCTCCTTATTCCAATGCAATATTCATGCTGTTTTAGAAATATCCGGATGCTTTCAGAATCTAAAAAAAATAAGTGTTGTATTCAGTGTTAATTCACTCAGAGTAGAAACTTTGGACATGGTTAATGGCCATTGTTAAATTTTGTTTATTGAGTTCAGTGGTTCTACTCATGAGTATAATTTAGTTGAATAGAAATCGAAATGCCTGCAAATTTTGTTAGCCTTGGTACGAGCTCTTAAGTGCTGTGTTGTTTGGTTTTGTGAGGAATATTAAAACAGGGACACTTCCCCTCAGAATAATATTGTTCTGACTGGCAAAAGCTAATTTATGAGATTGGTTAATTTTGCATTAGTAGGTATATTTTAAACTATATTTAAAAAGGTAAAGGCACCCCTGACCATTAGGTCCAGTCGTGGCCGACTCTGGGGTTGTGGCGCTCATCTCACTTTATTGGCTGAGGGAGCCGGCCTACAGCTTCCGGGTCATGTGGCCAACATGATGAACCAGAGCAGCGCACGGAAACACCATTTACCTTCCCGCCGGAGCTGTACCTATTTATCTACTTGCACTTTGATGTGCTTTCGAACTGCTAGGTTGGCAGGAGAAAGGACTGAGCAACGGGAGCTCACTCCGTCGCGGGGATTCGAACCGCCGACCTTCTGATCGGCAAGTCCTAGGCTCTGTGGTTTAACCCACAGCGCCACCCGCGTGCCAAACTATATTTAGAACATAATAATTAATCCTATAACTGGTATTATTAACACCCCAGTTGTATTAATAACAATGCCACAAAGGTTAAATTCTCTTTCCAGAAAGAGAATCCTTCCTTTTTAGGTGGTGTTGGAATATGTTTTCAAATGGGGCAACATAGCTCCTTTTTTCTGCTAATACACTCCCTGCCCCCCAACAAAAATAATAATATTATTATTAAAATATTATTATTGTAATAACAGTAATAGCTAAGAATAGAAAGTGTCATGTTAAAAAAGTAGAGACATCACCTTGTCAACAAAGGTCCATATAGTTAAAGCTATGGTTTTCCCAGTAGTGATGTATGGAAGTGAAAGCTGGACCATAAAGAAGGCTGATCGCCGAAGAATTGATGCTTTTGAATTATGGTGTTGGAGGAGACTCTTGAGAGTCCTATGGACTGCAAGAAGAACAAACCTATCCATTTTTAAGGAAATCAGCCCTGAGTGCTCACTGGAAGGACAGATCCTGAAGCTGAGGCTCCAATACTTTGGCCACCTCATGAGAAGAGGAGACTCCCTGGAAAAGACCCTGATGTTGGGAAAGATGGAGGCCACAAGGAGAAGGGGACGGCAGAGGACGAGATGGTTGGATGGTGTTCTCGAAGCTACCAAACTGCGGGAGGCGGTGGAAGACAGGAGTGCCTGCCGTGCTCCAGTCCATGGGGTCATGAAGAGTCGGACATGACTAAACGACTAAACAACAACAACAACAACAACGTTTCTTTGATCTTCATGCTGTGCTTGTGCATTCCCAAGGCATCCAGCTGGCCAGCATAAGAAATGATGGTCCTTTGGTCTGCTCCAGCACGGCTGTTCTGAGTTTCTTTTGTCTGAGGCCCTTAGTTCCTTCCACTATTCCCGCCCCCCAAGTGTTCCAAAATGTGGAACTGCGGTTATCAATATATCCACATCAGTGGAGCAGCTTTTTGTTTTCATACTTGTGGTGCAGTTTTCTCACAACAATGTTCAGTACCTTAAATGAAAAACACATGGACACTGAAACATCTGGACCATTCTGGACTGTTCTTGACAATAGTTTGGATGTGAAGTGGTCATTCATAAATTCCATTGGTGTGTTTTCATGCTGCTTCATCTACACAGTGTACAGCCCTGCTTTGATGAATAAGAAAGCCAAAGCTGCAGATCATCAGTATTTATAACAGCACCGCCCTTCAAAACATCTAATGAAGTTCTTACAGAACCATAGAATTGTAGAATTGGAAGGGATCTTTTGGATCATCTAGTCCAATCCCCTGTGGTGCAAGAATCTCAGCTAAAGCATCAATGGCAAATGGCCATCCAGCCTCTGCTTAAAAAGCCACTGTCAAACAGCTCTTACAGCCAGAAAGTTCTTCCTGATGTTTAGTAGAAATCTCCTGTCTTGTAACTTGAAACTATTGGTTTGGGTCCTACCCTCTGGAGCAGGAGAAAACAAGCTTTCTTCACCTTCCGTGTGATAGCCCTTAAATCAGTTTTAAACTTAAATCAATATGTGGGGGAGGGCAAGGTGGAACAAGCCCAATTAGCATGCTTTCAGTCAACTGAAGAAATATATTAGTTTTTGGCACTTGGTGCCACAAAAAATATTCCAAGCCAAAATGTGTCAGCAACACAGATCTATAAAATGCATCCAATGCCAACATTTTTTTAAAAAAATAATAATAATGCATTGCAAATTACTTTCAGCCAAGCATCTAATTCTGTGGGCCAAAAAGCAAATGTACAAACTGCAAAGAATAGTGTGGGTGGGTGCAGCTCTGTTAAAGGCCAAAGGAAGTCTGTTCACTGGCAGGAAGAGTAAGTAAAATGGTTTTTTTGTGTGTGTGTGTCTGTGTGTGTGTGTGTGTTCTTGCATGTGCAAACGGAAGCATGAACAAGGAAGAACCTTCTTCTGCGAGTGTTGAAAAAGATAGGGTGGGTAATCCAAGTTTTGTGGCTTGCTCAGTTGGTTACAGCATGGGGCTGATAACTCCAAGGTTGCAGGTTTGATCCCCATATGGGACATCTTCATTGCAAGGGACTGAATGATCCTCAGGATCCCTCCCAACTCTATGATTCTATGATTTAAACGTTACTATTAAGTTCAGTTCTCCATAAACTTGATGTTCTTTACTGAAAGTTAGTGTTTGTAGGAACAGCAGAATTAATAGATTTGAGTTATTCCCTTATCTCTGAAATATGCTACCAAGCTGTATAGTGAATTTTATGGTTCTCCTTTACTCCTCTCCCCCCACCATTTTCCTAGTTTGTTGCCAACAACTGTTTTTATGGTGGACCACCCAGAAAAAGGATAGTGAAATTAGCAGCGAGGATTTGTGCTGTAGAATTCTGCATGTAGGGCAGTGGGTGCAAATACAAATAAAGGCACATATAAATGCTCATTAAATAAATGCAATAGACTGATAAACTTCAGCTCGAAATTGTACTTCGTCCTCATGAAATTTGTAAATGGGGCCCTTGGCTTCTTCAATTGGGTCTTTCTGCTTCTCAAATGAACACACCATGAGTTTCATCATTTGGGCCAGTTTCCAAGAGTTAGCAAGTGATTCTACAGTATTGGTTTATTTGCTTTTGACATCTCCGTTTGCTCTCAGTTAAGATTTTTGCAGTAGCTAGAATCCAGTGACATCGGGAGGGCCATAGGTTCTCCATCCCTGCCCTGTGCAGCTCCACCGAATCGTTGCATTAAAGATCTCAAATTGTGTTTTAGTTGTGAGTGTTAGTAAACCATGTTTGACATTGAGATAGACAAATTCAAGGCATAAATTGTGGGATGGTGGGGGTTGCATAATGCGTTTTACAGCAAAAGGGTCTTGTGGAACCTAATGTGAAGATACACTTTTTTAAAAAAGTATAGCATAATTAGAAGAATAAAAGGCATAATAATCAATCTACAAGTCATTGTGTAAAGAAGAACAAGATTGTGTGTTAGATTCCCGCATACTTCAGTGTGAAAGAAGTTAAACGCTAGCAGTGATTTTTTTGACAGCTTTGAAGCTGGTAGACTCAGGGATAAAGCAGAACTGGCAACATCTACTGACAGTCATGGCTGACCTAGTTATGTTAAGAAGGACTGTCAGGAATTCCAAAAAGGACTCAAGAAAACAGCAGGTAATCTAATGGCAGCTGAATTTTCAATCTGACAAAGTGCAAGCTAATACCTATTGGAAAGGACACGTTAATCTACTTTTACACACTTTAAATTACTTAAACAGTTGTGTGTGGAGTGTAATCTCTCTCTCTTTTCTTTTTATCACCCCTGACAGCCTAATCATTGTTGGTTGTATCTGATGGTTCCTGAATTGTCAGCGAGTCTGAATAATCTTCTGCACAGATTTAAAGACTTTTCAGATATGTCAGATGTCTTAAGTAATTACTCAATCATCAATAATCTCACAAGGATCATCAATGATCTAATGGCATGCCTGTCTACTAATAAAAATAAGGTAATAATCTAAGATTAATCTTCCCTCTTGGTTGCAAAATGATACCTTTGTGTATAGAGAGCAGACCAGAACAGAATAGACTGGTTTGTATGTAGTGGGAAGGATCCTGGCCGAGCTTCAGCACCTGCTTCCATCTCGGCCTCCTGCACAGCCAGGCAAAAGACTTCTGCAGTGCTTCATTTTGCCTTCAGAAAATCCCAGCTCTTCATGTGCAAATCAGAGACATTTATTCTAAAGTTGTTAATTAAACAAGTCAGTTTGCAGTTTGATTGTTTTAAAATTTTGGAATTTGTTTTAAACCATGGTCTGTAGTTCACAGGTAACAACATCAAGCCAGGATTTTCTAAAAGTGAAACTAAATGCTGCAGAGGTCCTTTTTCCAATCATAGTAGAAGGGTGTGTGTGTGTGTGTGTGTAAAACACAAGCCCAAGACTTTGCTTGGGCTTGCCCTTGCTTGTGCCTATATCGCTAAATCTTTATTGAGTGTTACACGGAAATTATCTTATCTCTAGGATTGTTTCACTTTGTACTAGTTTCTTGCTATTATATTTAAGCCCCTCAGTCTGCCTGCAACTAGATTTCCTATCCACTTTTTATCATTTATTTCAGTGTGATTCTGTAGATGCCTACTCTGAAGTAAGCCCAATTGAGCTCAATAGTACTTATTCCCAAGTAAGCATTTTTTGGATTGCATCCTTAATATTTGACTGGGGATGCAATACTACTTTTTATATACAGTATGGATGGACTCCTTGTTGTCTGGGAGACACACCTAAGGCTCCACACACCTAAGGAAGCTCTGGACATCTACAGAACTATTTTTTAAATCTAAGCAAGTTTCTGAGGCAGTATCGTACACGCCACCTGCATAGTTTGTGTGTGTGTGTGTGTGTGTGTGCGCGTGTGTGTGCGCACGCACACACACACACACACACACACTTCCAAAAGCAAAGTCACTGCACTTTTGAGCCATTGGGAATAGCTAAAACAGATTTAGGAAATCTGTTCAAGGACTGCTTCCCCCAAAATTTAAGTGATAGCAATCTTACAAATGTTACTGGCATATAACATTATACTGTAGAAGTAATTATGCCCTCACATAGATCTCCCATGATGTTGAAGGCAGGCAGGTGTAAAACCTGCCCTTGTTTCAGCCACATGGATTACTTTGTGATTAAACTACTGTGGCACATTCTACGTGGAGTTGCTCTGGAAAACAACCTGTAAACCACAGTTGGTGCAAAATGCCACTGCCATGATTTTGACAGGGGCCAAGTGGTGAGTTCATTCACCACTTTTATTTTATCAGTTGCACCAGCTGCCATATGATTTAGGGGTGCAATTCAAAGCACTAGGTATTCCCTTTAAAGACCTAAACATCTTGGGATCAAGTTATATCAGTATCAGTTGCTGCCCACGTGAAGCTGCCTTGATACCCTCTTATGCATGTCAAGACCTTGACTCAGCTAGGCGGGTAAAGAAAAACCGATTTTATGTGTTGTATGTGCGATATACAACACTTTAAACTGAAACACTTCTTTGATGAGTCTAGATTCAGCCACTTCTGTGTTATGATTGGTGGCAGAAGGGCCTTTCGGTGGCAGCACACTGCATGTGGAACTCCCTGCCTCGTGAATTTAGTATTATTGTCTTAACTTGCTGGTTAAAATGAAGGGGAAAGCAGGGTATAAATCTTAGTATAAAAAAACAAACAAACGCATGGCACTGATCAGGAGAGTATTGCACAATCTGTCCCAGGTTTCCCCATGTTTACAATACACAAAGTAACCATGTTTTAGTAGTTAACTGAAATATCATGTTAAAGAAGTATGATGTAACTGAAAACCATATTGTTTGGAGCCAGTTTTGCCATTAACTGATAAAGTTTTGCAGCAAGAAAGAAATCAATTGCAATCCAGGGAACAGAGCTTTCGCATCAAGGAAAATGTGTCCAACTGAATTTGAACTTTATAATTTACAGTTTTGACCTCCCAGTTTGTACCACCTGTTAAACACATTTCCATCTATTCATGATCCATACCATTTCACGCTGTGGTAGCTCAGCTTATTTGTGCTTCCTTTACAAATGGATTTTGTTATTTTTCTCCCCTTAGAACTTTAGAAAATATAATGACCATCTTTATGAAGAAGGTAAATTCTTTCCAGAAGAGTTCTTTAAGCACTTTAATAGCACTATTGATGTCTACAAAAGCATTGCAAAAGCACCAGAACAGAGCGACTGTGTTCTGCTTTCGGCAACAGAGCCCTCCCCAAATGGTAAGACTTCATTTTTATCTGGATGTGTCCTCAAATGACACAAACTCTGATCATCTATGGTCCCCGGGAAGCTATCTCAGGGGCCGGAGGAAATATCTAATCTTCCACTCTGACACTGAAGAGACGTCTCAGATTTTGGAGAAGGAGGTCCAATATCAAATTTCCCTGTTCTACCACCTTGGAAACATTTGATGCCCTGGCCCAGCTGCTTTCTGAGCTCTGAGGTCCATGGGCATGTTGTAGAGGACTGGGAAGCAGTTTGGTTCCAATGTATCCCAAACCACCTGTGACTTTTCTTTCCATCCCATCAATCTAGGTTGTTGCTGGGAGTTGCAAAATGGACAGAGAACCATATGAGTTTCCTCCAAACTCACTTTCACCCTGCAGGAATGAGCCCAGTAGGGCTTTGGTTGGACAGCTAAACTACCTGTGGATTGCCCCGCATGCCAACTTCAGGACTGCACTGTTAGCAAGACTGTGCTAATTCTGTATAATATGGCTGCAGTTGATTATATATGGACATAGATCTTACTAGTAGTGACAATCAGCTGCTGAATGTGACAATCATTTGATGTTAATGGAAGGTTTCTTCCCTATGTGAATGGGGTGAAAGGTGTTGGGGGAAGTTGAATTGGGACTACAGAGAGGACAAAGGGTTGAATCCCCCTGTTTTTCTCCACCTCCCTCCAATATACTGGGGCTGATCCACATCAGTAGGCCTTCTGGTGACTATCTCTTAAAATGGTTGCAAGCATATTCTGGGGTTATTATGAGGGAGTTCGATAGGGCCGTCTTAAGCATATCCAGCGCCGTGGTTCAAAGATCCCTCTGGCGCCCCCCCCCTTCCCAGAGTTGTCGACCTTTTCCCAAGCCTCTGCGGGTATTACTCTCCTCCTGCGGAGGCTTGGGAAGGAAGCTGCATGCCCGCCAGCCATATGGTTGACAGGGCACAGCTGGTGGGCATGCAGGGAAAGGGAAGGCCGCCGGCAAAGTTGCGCAGCTCCCCCACTCACTGGGGTGCCCCTGAAAGGCCAGCGCCCTGGTTCAACGCACCAGTAAGCCCAATAGAAAAGATGGCTCTGAAGTTTGAGCTGAGGTACAGCTGAGTAGTTTTAAAAAAACAGATTTTTTTGGGGGGGGTGTCATTGTTAACCTTGTATTTGTTTGTTTGCATTGTTGCTATTGGTCAATATTATTTGCAAACATTTCCGTTGACTTGGTTAAATGCTATAATACAGGCAAAATAATCTGCAGTTTTCCAAAATATAGACCACCAATCCACTCTGTTTGTCTTAGATGCCGGCAACAGTGTCACAGAGCCCATTTTGTTACATCCTGTTGCTGCCAGCTCTCTTAAGAATGACAGCAGTGGCGATAGCAGCGAGCGTAAGTATAAACCATTGTACCCATTTGCATTTGATTTCTACAGGGGGAACCAACTGTATTGTGGAGGGAATGGGTGTGTGTTGTCAGTATCTAATGTGGCGTAGTGGTTAGAGTGCTGGACTTAGGACCTGGAAGACAGGGGTTCAAATCCACACTGAAACATGAAACTCACTCAGTGAACTTGGTCTCAGCCTATCAGGGGTTATAGTGAGATTAACATGGGGAGGAGGAAAACTATGAGTTCCTTGGAGGACAGGTGGAATATCAACGAAATAAATAAATCAGCATTTGTGCTTGCAAAGGAATACAGTTTATTGCAAGCACATTGTGCAGTTATAAGTGTTAGTAAGTAGTAATAACACTTAGAATTGACATCACTTCTAAGGTGGAGGCAGCAACATAGTGAGAAAGAACACATGGGTTTGTTTTTTATTTGTTGCTATAAGGCAGGTGTGGGGAACGTTTGTCCATCCAGATATTGCCAAACTCCCATCAACACTGACCTTTGGCAATGCTTGATGGGGCTGAGAGTTGTACTACTTCAAAAGCATCTGGAGGAACAAAGGTTCCCCACAGCTGGTACAGTGGTACCTCAGGTTAAGAACTTAATTCGTTCTGGAGGTCCATTCTTAACCTGAAACTGTTCTTAACCTGAAGCACCACTTTAGTTAATGGGGCCTCCTGCTGCCGCTGTGCCACTGCAGCACAATTTCTGTTCTCATCCTGAATCAAAGTTCTTGACCCAAGGTACTATTTCTGGGTTAGAGGAGTCTGTACCCTGAAGCGTCTGCAACCCCAGGTACCACTGTATAAGTTATATAATGGCGCTAATTAGGAGTTGCAGGATGGAGTCCATATTGCAATGATTGGCTGGTATTATTAACACCACAACTGTGGAATCTGCTTCCCAGTCAAGTTCAAGAGAACTTGGCCGTGTTCATACCATACATTTAAAGCACATGGCTTTTCGCTAAGAATTCTGGGACTTGTAGTTTACTCCTCACAGAGCTACGATTCCCAACACCCTAAATAAACTACAGTTCCTGGGACTCTTTGGAGGAAGCCTTGAGCTTTAAATGTATGCTATGGTTGTGAGCTACCTCTCTCTTAGCACTATATTACATTGCTGGAAGGTTTGAGTAGTATATGATAAGTCCCGTACATGGCTACACAAGGTCCTGTTTCAGGCTTCCAGGAACCTTGTTAGGGGCTGGAAATACACATTAACATCTAATATCATGATGACTCAAAATTGCCACATGAAGTTGTCACGTGAAGTTTGTCTCAAGAGCCAGAGCATAGTTCCATAGTGGACAACCAAAGAAGGACAAGCTACTATTCTGCTTAGCCATCTGGCTGTGATGGTAAGCCAAGCTGGTTATCCTTCAGAATCCAAGTCAGGGGTTTACCTTGTTAAAATGTGCAGCAAAAAGGCAGGTGTGTGAGGGCACTTGGAGGTTATCCATGTGTGTGTAGGGGGGAGATATAACTTCAGGGGTTTGTCTCCCACAATAGGAAATCTTCCTCCTCCCTGGGGGCACCCCACCTGCATTGCTCTTCCAGGACTGTCCACTCAGCTCTATCGAGAAATTCCTCACCTTGCCCAGTAGCTTGAAGTGTGGTTATAGGTGGGCCTCAAGTTTCTACACCTTCTCTTCCAGCAAGGCAACCAGACTGCACTTGCTGCAGGTAGAGTAGTGCACATTCTCAGGCAGGAAGACAAATATAGCAAGGATGCTGCAGGTCACTGTCTCTTGGTCCTACGCACACCACGAGACCGCATTCTGGGCCTTTCCCTCAAAACACCTTCACAAACACCCCTGTTTACAAGTCCTGGCCACAAGCTCCCAGAGGCTGCAATCAGCTAAACAGGAACTGTTGGGGGCTGCTAACTCCTCACTACAACTTGTCGTGATGGATCAGGTCAATGGTCCATCTAGTCCAGCATCCCGTGGCAACCAGAGGCCTGTGGGAAACCAGCAAGCAGGATTTGGGCAAAAGAGTACTCACCTCACCTGTAGATTCCAGCAACTTCATATTCAGAAGTATTGCTGTCTCCATCTGTGGGGGTATTGTGGCTGTTTTGCTAAATGCAAGATGGTTCTTTTAATGATTAGATTCAGAAGCAATACAAACACAACTGGGTAAGAAGATTACAGATTTTATTACATATAGCAAGCGAAATATACATTACCAAGCAGCACCTTGATCTGCCACTGAGAAGCCCGGAAGGAGTGGCAAAGTGTCCCTCCAAATAGTCTTGGTGCACAGCTCTACGGCCGATAGACTGTGCTGAGCTTCTGCTTGGCATGCTCCATAGCCAGGTATTTTATAGACCTGTGTCCTATTAGGACATGGGTAGGCAAACTGAGGCCCGGGGGCCACATCCAGCCCAATAGCCTTCTAAATCTGGCCCATGGGCAGTCTGGGAATCAGCGTGTTTTTACATGAGTAGAATGTGTCCTTTTATTTAAAAGGCATCTCTGGGTTATTTGTGGGGCATAGGAATTGGTTCTTCTTCTTTCCCCCCCAAAATATAGTCTGGCCCCCCACAAGGTCTGAGGGACAGTGGACTGCCCCCTGATGAAAAAAGTTTGCTGACCCCTATATTAGGACGATACAGGCTCAACCAGAGCTACTCTACATCAAAAGACAAAAATGCCAGGCTATACATCAAAGGCTTTGCTGACCAGTGTCATCAGTACATCCAAGGCCTTTTCATAAGGGATATTGAAAGTAATCAAATACAGATAGGAGAATTATGAAGAGACCAGAGACGGAAGGGTGGACCATGTCAGATCACTATCTCCTCGAGATCCCATACAGTGGCTAATAGTCATTTCTCACAAGTGCCCCAGAGAGTGACGTGATGTGTTGTGGTGCCTTCTCCAGCAAGGTTTTTGTATGGAGAGAAAGGCAGAGAAGCTGTTTTTGGATCTTTTTTAATGCAATATGTGGAGCTACCCAGTTTCACATTCCTCATTTTGTATTTATTTGTATTATTCTCCGATTGGCCTCTGTATCAGTGACTGCATTTCACGGAGAGCTTGACTCTCTGCTGAAGCAAAGCACCATCCTCTGCCATTTGGCTGAAGCTTGGCACGCATCCTTTCAGAAACCACCCTTCTGATCTCTGTGGCTCCATGTTTTCAGACTCTGATGTCCCCAATTAATCAAACATTTAAAAGCAATACAAAAAAAAAAGGCATTCAGTAAGTAAGTTCCCTAAGAATGAATACATTTGCAATTTAAAGCAGAGTGGATCGGCTCTGCATATTTGTTCCTCTGCCCAATTATTTTTAATTATATGACTAAATGTGCAGGTGTGAAAAGCATTGAAGTAACATAGATTAAAATCTTGTCTTAATTAATCTGGAGCAAATCCATGGGTGACAAAGCTGGCAGCAGGATTAGTATGTGGTTCATTGTGTCAGTTTTCCAACTCTATTCACCTTGCCTGGCACCAGATGGGAGTTGCTGCATTCTTGAAGCTTGACGATGTTACAATAGAAATATTAAGAGCCACGGCTCCTTTGCTGATTAAAACCCAAGCTATACATGTGTGCAAGTTTGTGCCCTACCCTAGTGGGTGAGTGTGTGTGAGTGTTTTACAAAATGAAGCAGTGGAGGCTGTAAACTGAAGCAGAAGACTGGCATGGGGAGGGCAGAGGAGCTACTTCTTAACTGTCTCCCTTTGGAGGCAGTTTCTAGAGGGGGAGACAGGTGAGTCCCTCTTTCTCCTACCTCTTCTCAGAACTAGTCTTCTACTTCAGTTTACAGCTTCAGCAGCAGTGTTGGGGGGAAGGAAAACAACAACAACCAGATCAGCACAACCATTAAAATGGGGTGATGTGCTTGATGGAGGTGTATTTTTTAAAAAAGGGAAAATCACAAGCAAGAAGCTAGCACTCAGGCTGCCAGGAAGCAAAGATGTGAAAGGATTACTACAAGAGAAGGCAAACAAATTCATTGCAACCACCTACACTTAAAAAGGGATGCGGGTGGTGCTGTGGGTTAAACCACAGAGCCTAGGACTTGCTGACCAGAAGGTCGGCGGTTCGAATCCCTGTGACTGGGTGAGCTCCCGTTGCTCGGTCCCTGCTCCTGCCCACCTAGCAGTTCGAAAGCATGTCAAAGTGCAAGTAGATAAATAGGTACCGCTTCAGCGGGAAGGTAAACGGCGTTTCCGTGTGCTGCTCTGGTTCGCCAGAAGCGGCTTAGTCATGCTAGCCACATGACCCAGAAGCTGTACACCGGCTCCCTCGGCCAATAAAGCGAGATGAGTGCCGCAACCCCAGAGTCAGCCACGACTGGACCTAATGGTCAGGGGTCCCTTTACCTTACACTTAAAAAACTGTTGGACAGACTCAGAACTGAACTACATTGGGTGGGGGTTGGGGGTGCATCTGTAGAGCCGAGTCATATAGCGATGACCAGATGAGCGTGAGTGCTTATTGACAGATTTAAAATGAAAAATTCACGAAATCTAGATGACTTACACCAGAGATTGCTTAACGAACTCAAAAACAAAATGCAACTTGCCACTAATCAATTAGCTTTCCAAGGACCGGATGGTAAGCAATACAATGCCAGGTTTTTGTTTTTGTTTTAAAGAATTCAAGGGAGATCAAGGAAGCAAAATGTCAATTGACTTCTGTTCCTGTTAAGAGCAGGGAAAGCATTTTTTAACCCTTCAGTTATATAGAAGAACAAATCTTTCCAAGGTAGTATCCCTATGGTTTCTGCAAAGGGAAGGCATGCCTCATTTAGGGTACATTGAGAGTATCAACAAGAATGTAGATTGGATGGATCCAGCTTTTGACCAAATGCTTTCACCAGAGTAAACACAGCATGGAATAAGAGGACATAGCCTCTTGTGGATTGGTAACTGATTGTGCAAGTGGAAGCAGAGAGGAGGAGCAAGCAAACAATGTTCACAGTGAAGAAGACTAAGCAGTGAAGTTTCCCAAGTATTTGTATTGGGACTATTGCTATTTAATTTATTCACAAATTATCCAGATTCTGGGATAAGCAGTGAGGAAGCCAGATTTGCAGATGATACCAACATATTCACCATAAAGAAGGCTGATCGCCGAAGAATTGATGCTTTTGAATTGTGGTGCTGGAGGAGTCTCTTGAGAGTCCCATGGACTGCAAGAAGATCAAACCTATCCATTCTGAAGGAAATCAGCCCTGAGTGCTCACTGGAAGGACAGATCCTGAAGCTGAGGCTCCAATACTTTGGCCACCTCATGAGAAGAGAAGACTCCCTGGAAAAGACCCTGATGTTGGGAAAGATTGAGGGCACAAGGGGAAGGGGAGACAGAGGACAAGATGGTTGGACAGTGTTCTTGAAGCTACCAGCATGAGTTTGACCAAACTGCGGGAGGCAGTGGAAGACAGGAGTGCCTGGCGTGCTCTGGTCCATGGGGTCACGAAGAGTCGGACACGACTAAACGACTAAACAACAACAACAACCAACATATTCAGGAGAGTGGAAGCCCAAGTCAATTGCAGAGGGCTCCAAACTTAGATAAATGGGCAGCAAAATGGCAAATAAAATTCTTTGTAAGAAAACATAAAATAAAGTGATACAGGATCATTGATCACTCCCTATGGAGAGTCCATGCCTCCAAATAGAATCCAAAAATGCAGGAAGGTTGATCCATTATATGCATAGGGCAGCTGTAGATATAATAACAGGACCATAATCTTCTTCATGCTTTCCTGGGAGTAAGCTCCATTGCTTGCTCCATTGTTGCCTACTGCTGACTGCAGAGGTTCACCTTGTAAAACACCCTGAACCAAAGGTCTGAAGCCAGCAGCTATATAATTCTTTACCTTTCGACCCCATCAAAGAAAAGAAAAGAACCTTCTTCATCCTCTGACTCCCTCTATGCGAGGGGTGGCAAACCGGTGCCACTTCTTCCCCAATGTAGTTGCACTATCCATCATCCCTGGCCAATGGTCATTCTGGCTTTTAGCTGATTAGAGTTTAAGTCTATCAGCATCTTGGAGGGCAGGTGGAGACAGGTAAGCCCCCCCCCCCCGCTCTGTGCAAATCTGCAATAGACAAGCTTGAAAGCACTTCAATCACTTGGCAGAGCAAGGAGGGAAAGTCCATTACTCTGGTACTTTGACAGATTGCACCTGCTCTGAAAGATGCAAAATCTCCTATCATCGCTCCCATCCTAGCTGGATGCTTAATTAAGGTTTTGCTTTTTGCTTTTGTTTTTTTAAAATCCAATTAAACATTAGTCCCTTCACTGAACTAATTTGGGACCAGATCCAGGCTGAAGCAGGTTGGCCCAGCCTGATTGGAGTCACAGGGCAGATGGATGGGGAGTACCCTGCCTTTTTTCCAAGTCACCTGGAAAACCACTGTCAGTCAGCACAAACAACACTGACCTAGATGCCCCAGGCAGGGACAAGAGTCTGGAAAGGGCAGCTTCCTAAGTTTCTACTAAGTTTTTTTCCCCAGAGCTTCACCTTTTATCTACTACGGTTAGCGTGCATGGTGTAAAATAACCACCTTCCCATTATGCAACCATGAAGTATCTGTTCTGCTTGACTAAAATTTCCTTTTAGAGTTGGCACACCTGTGGGGGCTAAGCAAAGTTCAAACAATGTTGGCTAGAGATTTGATTAGAAACAAGGTTTGGAATCCAAGACAGCTTTGTGAACTGTAAATTGTCAGTCCCTGTTTGCACTGAGGCTTGAGATGTGGTTTGAACTCGAGTGGGCAGGATTTTTGTGGTAGAATTGAAGTGGGAAAATAAAATCTCATCGGCAGAAGAAGTGGTTCCTAATGAATAGAAAGTCTACAGGAAGGAATCGGAATGGCGAGTATATCTGGCACCACATCACACCGGCACTTCTTAGCTGCTGCTTATCCCATTCCCTAGTGTGCTTAATTTGATTTTGTTGAGAGTTGAGTTTTTAGCTGCTTGTCTGCAGGAAAAACAATCGGAACTAAAACGTACAACAATAGTTTTTTTTTCACCTGCACTGTGACAGGAATAGACAGGCTTGGTTTAGATTAGCGTTTCCCAAATATTTTGGGAAATTAGATATTTTGGGTCTCCAGATATTTTTTGGACTACAACACCCATCATCCTTAAGTAGCCGAACCAGTGGTCAGGGATGATGGGGACTGTTGTCCAAAAACAGCTGGATACCCAAGTTTGGGACCCCCTGATTTAGAGCAAGGATGGGGAACCTCTAGATCAGGGGCCAGCAACCTTTTTCAGCTGTGGGTTGGTCCACCGTCCCTCAGACCATGTGGTGGGCTGGACTATATTTTGAAAAAAAATAAGAAAGAATTCCTATGCCCCACAAATAACCCAGAGATGCATTTTAAATAAAAGCACACTGCCGAAAGTGATGCTATCAGTCAATCTGTGCAGGGGTTTCTAATACTTACATCAAATAGGGTGAACCCCACAGGTAACTCCCCCCAGAGCCCTTTAACGGGATACCCTAACATTTGGAGAGGCAGGCAAAGAGGCTACAACCTCCCCTCCATCCAAGACTACAATTGCCCCAACAGGGAACTTTCATATGTTGTTGGACTCCAACTCCCATCAGCTTCATCTAAAATAGCCAGTTGCCAGGGATTATGGGAAGTGAAATCTGGAGGGCATCAGGTAGCTCTCATGTCTCCTCCCCTGTAGTTCAAAAGACAGCCAGTGGATTTGCCGCCTAGTCAAGATTGTGGGAACGTGCCATATCGTGGCTGTCATGATCATGAAATGGAGGCTTGGAAGCAATCTTGATATAGGTCAGAGGGATAAAACCAGACTTAAGTACTCTGGGCCAAATGACATCACTAAGGTATGGTATCAGCCTGCCTGGTTATGTGTCACATAACAGCACCACACACATATGCCACTAGCATCCTTCTGAACTGTAAAACAACGCAAAAGTGTGTGAGAAACACATATAAACATGCCTTGTAGGTTGCTCAATCAAATATATTTACACAAAGCTGCAGTATTTTTTAAAAATGAATTGTTTCCATTTGGTATGGAAGGATTTTTTAAAAAAAAACAAGCAAAGGCTGCTTGCAAATAATAGGGACTGATATTCATTTTTCATTGGTTTAGTTGTTGTTGTTGTTGTTGTTGTTGTTATTTTCAATTTTTGTCCACCCCCACCCCTCTGTTCTGTTGCATATAGCAGAGTTACTTCCAGGCTGCTAATTAAAATCATAACCTGTAAATTGGAAATATGTGGTCAGCATCATTCAGTGGTCAACCGCATTGCCCATTTCCAAGCATTGCTCTTATTACTCCAGAGAAGTGGGGGGAAATACTTCCGGGGTGGTAGAGTATTTAAGTTTATACTGCTCAATCCCTTGTGAGCCCATATAGGAAATTTACTCCTAGTATCTTCCTGCTGAAAAGTCTGTTCTGTTCTGCTAAGCGGCCTTGGGAGGTGAATGGGGAGAGGAGCTCTTTTGCTGCAAAGAGAGAGGAAGAAAATAGCTTGGTAAATGTTGCTCCGCAGATGGTAAAATTGTGATTATACAGTTGCCAGAATGTTTGCCTTTCCGGAGGGAGTGCAAATAAAGCTGTGAATTTCAGGGAGCCAAATGCTTCCTAATGACAAACAAATCTCTCAAGGTATAACTTGCGATGTATGGTCTGCAAAGGCGATACCTAACTACCTTTTATGAACAATGTTACCCCGGAGATTAAAAAGAAAGAAATGTGCCTAAGCTAACTGGAAATGTTTTCAATTACAGACGCAGAGTTGGGTTTCCTCAACAGTGCCAGCATGCATGGAATCAGCATAGCACTAACAGGGCTGGTGACTCTTCTTATTGGCTTTCTTTTGGGAGCTCTGTGCTGGAAGGTGAGATATGCCAAATAGAACGCTGGCTTACTTTATGCATTTGCTGACCTGTAAAATTACTTATATACCACTGTTTTTCCATAGAAAACAACCCGCAAACACTTTTCAGAAAGTGACCAGAATACAGAATCAAACATCTGCCAAGAGGATAACGAAATAAGGTATTTTTTTAAAAAAATCCATGGCCCCTGGATCAGACCAATCTGCTTTGTGCTGCTCTGGGGGATGGAGTGGAAGGGGCATAAGGATTTTTTTAAACCCTATTTTAACAAACAGGAGCTGGTGGGGGTAGGTGGCGGTGCTGACTAGAGCATGTTGGTTCAGTCCTGAGGTGTGCTGTTCCTTTGCAAATAGCACCATGTAGGAGCAAATCCTCCCGCTGGTAAGCTAAATAATCTGATCCCATGGGAAGCTACCCCTTTGCAGGTGAGGGAAGCCACTCACAGAGAAGTAGTGACTGGCACTATGCAGGATGGGTGTGGTGTAGTGGTTAAGAGTGGTGGACTCATAATCTGGTGAACTGGGTTCAATTCCCTTCTTCTACACATGCAGCTGCTGGGGGACCTTGGGCTAGGCACACTTCTCTGAAGTCTCTCAGCCGCACTCACCTCACAGAGTGTTTGTTGTGGGGGAGGAAGGGAAAGGAGATTGTTAGCCGCTTTGAGACTCCTTAGGGTAGTAAAGTGGGATATCAAATCCAAACTCTTCTTCCTCCTGTTTAGCAGCTGGTAATCAAGGGGATTTGATTCTGTGCAGTGCTGCTTCAGGGATGGGAGGAAAGTGAGGCCTGAACATGAAATACATCTGAGGGAAAACTTTGAGTCATGTACTATGTTCCATTAAGCCTCCAGTCCAAAGCTAACTTGCTCAGGGTAACATAGGGTGACTTATTTTCTGAGTATATATGCAAAAGGATGGTGCTGTCAGAACGTAAAACAAACAGCTGAAAAGTCAGAAGAAAGTTTTCTTCCCATGCAGATGTCAGGTTTATTGCAGTTCTTTCACCAACTTCCAACACAGTTCTTTGTATGCCTACTCAGAAATAAGGCCCATTGAATAACTGGGTCTTACCCACAAGAAACTCAGAGGAGTCTTAAGAATAGAAAAATCATAATTTTCATCCAATTATGCTTTACAATAAGTCTTTCGCTACAAATGGATGCTCTTTCATCTTGAGCAGGGATCTTTAAAATTGTGTTAAAATTGATCCTCTCTGCTGCCCATATGATAAATGCATTTTGGTTTTTGTTTACCTTTCAGTATGCTGCAGCAAAAAGAGAAAATACTTCTACAGGTGTAGCTGTTGCTTTTTTATATATATACACTGTTACTGTTTCATGTCTTGGTAAGTTCTGGAAAAGACAATTTTGAATTGCCCACAAACCTTTTCTAATGATTAGCCTGTTGAAATGTGTAGTAACTATTTCCCTAAGGATTATTTTATAAAACTTGAAGCTAAGAGGCTGTTAATTTAAAAAGTACTGCTTCAGTAACAGTAGAGTTACAGCTTTTGAAAGTAAGCCCCTTTGCTTCCCTTTAAAAGGTATTCAAGAAATGGTAGGCTATTCAATGAGACCTCTGAGCTCTAGTATGTAAAAACACAACTTGTGCCCTTCTGGGGCTAGAACTTCATCTAGTACTGGCCCTCCCAGGTGGTTGCAATATCCAGCATCTACATATAGGATTGGGAATATTCCCTGCTTGAGATACTGGATAGTCACCACCGGTCAGTGTTGACAATACTGAGCTAGCTGGACCAATGGTCCTGACTCAGCATACAGCAATTTCATGTGTTCCTGTGAAACTCTGCATTAGCATTCCAAAGTATTAAAGGATATTTACCTGCAAAGTAGTTGCTGTGGTACAAACGACCACTTTGAAATATGGCATTCTATGGCCTATCCATATAGTGGGTTGACAAGGGCCTTCACTGAGTTTCCAGTTTCCATCATAGCATTCATTTTGTATTGCAGCCATATATGGGGAAAAAATCCAAAATCCAGCCCTCAACCTATAGAAGCTTTACAATTTGCACCTAATCCAGGGCAGGGAGGGGGTGATAGTCACCAATATCACAGCCGGGGAGGCTTAAGCCTCCCTTCACTGTTGCTTTCCTGAAGACAATCTCACCTCCTTGACTGGTATAACTTGATTGTCAATTGCATCTAGGGGTTGACTTTTTTGACAAGTCTAAGCTAAGTTGGCCAATATGTTTCAGATGTGAACTGAGCTTAAGTTAAAGTTTTAGAATGTACATAAAATGAGGTTTGTGGCCAAGGTTTTTGCTGGCAAACACCATAACATTTCCCCTCTTCTCTGCCCCCTCTCATACATACACATGACTTATTCCCACTTTACACTGAACACAGGTACAAACTGTCTTTACACACATACATGTGTTTATGATGTGAAAGAGTACACTATTGTGTACAGAGCTACACAGACCGTATACTCACTGACAGTGGTTTTTTTCCTGGGGGGACTCAGGGGGACGCATACCCCTAAACATTTTGTGAATCTTAAGTTTGGCCTCATTGAGGGACAGTATTTCAATATGAGTAGGAAAATGAAAGTACCCCCTAAACATTTTTTTTAGAAAAAAAAGCACTGATCAATGAATATTTCATCTGTATAACTACAAATGCACAGTTCAACTCGTATGTCTGCATGGCACGCATAGACACGTTGAAGGTAATATATGAACAAACACCCCTACAGTTAACACAACATGGGATAATATTCTTCTATGCTTTCATTGTTGCCCATATTCTCATCCCACAGTCCTATCCTCCAACCCTCTTCTGTGCCCATTCCTTTCATAAATTTTCACACTTTGCCCAACATTTCTTTCCTCTCTTTCCTATATCTTCTTCTCTTCCTTCTTCCCTGATACCTCGTAATGCTATCACTTCCTTCCCTGAGAGGGCAAGTCCGTTCTGCTACAGACATAATGCATGTATGCTGAAACTACTTCACAAGGAGGAATTTGCTTGGTTTTGTGATTTGGAGGTGCCTTTTGCTAATTTGTGAAATTAAACAAATTTCAAGAAAACATCTCCCAAAAGCTATTGCGTTTTTCTTTCCCCCCTCTCTTCTCTACTAGGCAGCTAACAGTTCCATGTTTGCTTCATAAATGAAGCAGCTTTAAGCATATTTGTATTCCTTCTGGAGTGACAGACTGAGTCTGCATCTGTTGTTGTTGCCCGTGACTCCATATTGAGAATATAGAGCTGTGGACAAAGAGTGTGCTACTGTGAAACCAACGTTGAATTAAACATCAAAGAAGAGTCTGCACTGAAATGGACTGTATTTTTATATTCAGACAGATTTGTTTCTTTGCATCTTCAAATTTGCAGTGGAATTTCGCGAATGCATGAACAAGTAATTCTGGATTTATGTGATCCAACTCCAAAAGTCATCAGGAAATTTGCATTTTGTGTACAAAAGGAGACTCTGAATGGGAGAAAAACACAGAAATTAACGAGAATACAAATCTTCAGCACTGTACATAAGACTTGCAAGTAAGGTTATGCAGTGGACTAATGTGCTAGCTTTATTTCATCGGTGGAACTGGGTTCATATTAAATAAGATTGGATATCTGTCGAGCTGTAAGTGAAATTTTATTCCATGTCACAGAAAACAAACATACACTTTGGCAAAGCTGTTAATATCCATCAAGGAGAAGTAAACACTGGATCTTGAAAATGGGGCAATTGGAATAGAATGGAACATTGATTGCCTGATGTTGGGGAGACTCCTATTAATGTTCCAGTGAGAAAATGGAGAGAGAGAAAAGAAGTCAGCTTCAGGAATAAAAAAAATGCCATGATGTCTATTTAAAATGCATATAAACATGCAATTTTGTTCTTGACATTTGCAAAAAAATCATGTCATCTCGAAGATACTAAGGTTTAGTTTAGCTTTTACTGTATGCCATTTCATATTTGCAAATGAATTTTAAAAGTAATACACTTTTCATCACTTAGCCTTCTCCATCAATTATTATATTAGTTCAGCTCAAATAAAAAAAGAGAAAACTTTCTTAATAGTTGTCAGCCTCTTGATATTATTTGTAACAAAGCTGTGGACAACAAATCCAAGACTGAAAATAACCTGCTATTCATAAATTTAAAAGAGGGTGCTAAAAGTTAATCAGAGCCCATATAGAATTTACTTAAGTTATTATTATTTCCGGAAGAGATATTCACAGGATATTGTATTCTGTGAAACAGCTGGGTTGCTCTACATTCCAAGCTACTAATCCAATAATAACCTTAAACTATAATCTTAACTATTGTTAAACTAAAAGTTTAACTATTGTTAAAATGCTCATTTACAACGCAGTGATTAAATTACCTATGCTTAAGGGATACTTTATTTAAAAGATTTTCACATATTTATTTATTTTTCATATATGTCACAGACTCTTAGAAATAATATATGAAAAGCTATAGAATGTATTTAGGATAGATTTAAAAATAACACAAATCTGGCATTCCTAAAATCTCTGTCCTGTTATTTTTTTTGGCTGGTATCGAAGCCAAATGACAGCATACGTACTACCGAAACCATTTGAAGTAATTAGGATGAGATCAGTGTGTCTGGCTGTTAACCAGAAGGTTGGTGGTTGGAGCCTACCCAGGGATGGATGGCTTTGAGCAGGATTCCTGCATTGCAGGGCATTGGACTAGAAGACCCTTGGGGTCCCTTCCAATTCTACAATTCTATGAGGCATATTTGGGATGCATGTTGCAGTCCAAATGACAGAGCTGATCTGTTGAGCTGGCTTGATGATGCCCAGGACCACCAGCTTCTATCTGTGACTATAGCCCATAGCTAGATCAGAGCCTACAATTGTGACTGTCCATCTTTAGAGTCAGAAAATCATGAAAATCTCTGTGCAACCTAAAGATATGGGAAGATCTGCTTGAATGTAGCTCTAGTGCAGGCCCCGACAAGGTAGAAACTAGAGCCTCAGTCAATAGTAACATGCCTCAGTAAATCACTATGCACACCATAAACATGTACAACATTTCACATTCCAGTAAGTGTTCTGGAACACAGTTGTGGATGCAATATCCGAAACCTGCTTTTTTTAAAAAAAAAAAAATTCAGAAGGGAACAAAGGACCCATTTGTTGCTTGATTAAAATGGCTTTAAAGGTAACGTTGCATACTTGTTGGAAACTGCAGTACATATTGTGCAAAGATTCATTTATACTGCAGGGTTTATAACAATGCCACATTCTTTTTCCCTTCCCAAAAAAACAGAACGAGACAAATTTAAGGTCAAGAGGCATTTACAGAGCCAATGAAAAATTCCAAGTATAATCCTACTGGCCTTACCATGCTTGCATAACAATCATTGTTCTCGCTTTGAATGTAAATAACCTCCATTAGCACAAAGTGGAATACCATCCCATCAAAACTAAAGCTGAATAATCATTTTGACAGTGAGTAGCATTTCCTTGGCATTTTATGCTTAAGACAGTTGACTGAGTGGTTTGGGCCATCTCAGTTGAATGTCACAAAGATGAAATATCTGGAGACTACTTCACTACTTAGGATTACCATTTGGCAACCTAATCTTTGAAAACTGTAATGGGATGGATATCTCCATCCGAGGAAGAGCAATCTTTTGGATCCAAATTCAGTTTGTTTATTTGGTACCTAAATTTGGTTGTGGACATAGCTCATTTCTCTTTTATTGTGATATTAAAATGATTCGTGGCCAGATTTTGAATTCTGGAATTTTCAAAGTGACTACTATTGAGTTTAAGGGCATGACTCCACCAGAAAGGTAAAATTGGTGTCTTTGTGCCAGAATTGGGATCCAGCCAGGTCACAGCCAGGACTTTGGGCAACAAGGCAAATAGTTCAGAGCGGCCACATTATCTGACTTTTTTTTAGTAATGAGTTAGCTGTTCTTCATGGGAAGTAGAGCATGGCTGTCTAGCTTTCATGAGTCACAGAGCTCTGTTTTAGATTCAACAGTGCCAATCACTGTGTGTGCGATGTCGCAGCTCCAAGTGTTTCGTGAAGGGATCATTCACAACAGCATGGAGAAGGGGCAAACACTCTTTGAAAGAAAAAAAGAGAGGTGGGAAGCTGGCTTAGCACATACGGAAGATCACTTAATGCAGATTAATCACTCCAATACCATTTAAGAATTCAGTTAAATTCAGAATCTGGATGGGTGAACTTCCTCTGTCTTCTCAATGCATAGTTAGCAGTAGACTGAGGATATGAATCAGTTTTTGTGTGGGCAGAACCCCAGCGGGGTTTTCTTTTGTGCTTATGAGTTCTTTTGGATTGTTGATCACTGAGTATAAGGGTAGGAGCCACCATTATCATTCAGATAAAAACCTTTTTAAACATCCTTTGGGTTGGATCAAGCCCTTCTACAAACAGAAGGGCTACTCCTAACAACAGCACAAGATCCTTCCATGGGGAAATCCAGTGGTGTGCTTCTGTTGCACAACGTCTCGAGATGTGTGCTTGTGCAAAGTCTGTGTTGAACAAAGACCTGCTTCCTGTGCAACAGTGTGCAAATCACTGACACTGCCCATGACTTTCCCCCAGTGACTTATCTCCAAATCCAACATTTTCTCTTTGTGTAGTGTATGTAGTGCTCTTTTTGGGGGGGAGGGGGGTGTTTTTCAGCAAGGGGCCCTTATAGTCGTGCCTTGGAAGTTGAACGGAGTCTGTTCTGAAAGTCCTTTTGACTTCCAAAATGTTTGAAAACCAAATCGCAGCTTCTGATTGGCTGCAGGAACCTCCTGCAGCCAATCAGAAGCTGTGGAAACCCTGTTGGACGTTCAGGTTCCAAAAGAACATTTGCAAACCAAAGCAATCACTTCTGGGTTTGCGGAGTTCGGGAGCCAAAACGTCTGAGTTCCAGGGCATTCGGGACCCAAGGTACAACTGTATATTCCTCCAAAAGAATAAAAATGCTGTTTTTTAAAGAAAATTAATAGATCAATTAAGCCAACATCATTTTATCCCTTATGGAGCTTGTGAAAGTGCATCTAGTGAATTCATGGATAGCTTCTGTGGAAACAGAAAGCAGCTAGCTACATAGGGCAAATTTCAATATTGTTATGTTACAAGAGATTTTACTTGAATAACTTAATGGTACTTATTTCACCGCAAACTCATTCTAGATCCATATTTCATACAAATGTGCCATGCTATGTTCCTTTCTCTTTTGAATGTGGTTAGACTCTCCAGACTACACACTATTTAATTGTTAAATCAAAAAGCTACGTTTGTATTGTTTCAGCTATTTGGAATAAGAGTTTGAGAATTACATAATAGTTTCCCCTGTATCACTAGTAATTTCATTCACCTGTATTTTTAAAAGAAGCCATGTAAAAAAAAAAATTATTATTAAATATATTTAAGTCCTAGGAACTCAGAAACTTCAGGCTCCTGCTTATCGGACAGATATATTCCTTTGCTGGCTCGGTCATGGATTGAGATTATGTATATTTTGATGTGTATTTGTAATCTGACTGAAGGTTAATTGACCAAGTTTATAAAATGTAATGTGTATCTTATGTGTCCTCTTAAAAATAGATGTATACCCCTGTCCTTTTTTATATTGGTTGAATCTGAAATTATATACATATGCTTTATTGTTCTAAACAATGAATTTTATGCACTGAGGTTTAATGAGTGCTTTCCTTTCATTCACTCCATAAGGAGAGGCTTCCTGGGGAAGATCAGCAGTCTTTTAAATATGGCATCCCTTTTCCACCAGCAGCAATATTATATACACTGATAATGTTTAATTGCACAGGGTGCTAACGCAATATCACATCCCTAATTGATTCCTTCCATCGTCTGTGGAATTCATGATATTATTACTGCTATATTCTTAATGAGCTTTGAAAGGTCTCTAGATCTTTAAGGAAATCCTCTTCCTAATGGTCCCAAAGCTGTTTCCTAATATCAGCACATTTGCTATTAGTCAAACCTTTTGCAACAGTCCATGTATGTATTTCTTGTTTGTGCTGCACTTTGCCAGATGTTTGGAATCAATGCCATTAAGGACTGGGTGCATGTGACTCAACTGTAGTTTAATCCAGGCAATCATGAAACACTGGTGACAAATGAGACCATGTGACTTAGAGGGGCTATATTCTAGTGAAACAGCCTTAGGGTTTTGACCCTGGAGCCATTGTGCTTGTGGCTAGATTACTATAATGCTCACCATAGGACCTGTGCCAGATGGCCAGCTGTTCAGCTGGCATTGATTTAGTTTCTTATGTGTGCCCATGTTGGAGGAAAAAAGAAGCCTGTAGGGAGCAAATTCAACAGCCCTACACCTGTGGAACTCAATTTCTTAGATGCTTGCCCAAACTTGATAAACCCTATTAGCAAAGGCTTAAGCCTGATCTTAGTGCACAAGTATAAGCAAGATGATGAGGTTTTAACATTTGCCACATCTAGTGATGCTGTTTTTTTACAGCATTCTCCCTCTGAAATTTGAAAACAGGAGTGGCTCCTGTGAAGATACGTATGTTGCGATAAGTAATTGTGCACTCAGCACATGTAGGAATGTGAATGAGCTACTAGCTACCACCACCAATCACTAATGGAGGAGGGGGAGACCTGGCCTTTGCCAGTGCCTCACAGCAAACAGAAGTGATGCCCATTGCACCTGGTAAGGAGAAAGAAAAAACCTCTACTGCTGGGCATTGTTTCTGACAGGTGAAATCTTCAGTGGGTGCAGAACACTGGATGCTTCTATGCTATGCCTTGCAGCACTGCATGAAGCTGGGCTGCCCTTCTTCCTTGCTTGGAGCAAATTGCTTCAGAGGTGAAAATTGCATGATCCTCTAGATGGTCAAACAATGCCAAGATGATATGCTTATTCACCAGGAGATCAGACTTCATCTTGAACAGATTCACTCCATGGCTCGCAAAAAACCCAAACCCAAAACATATTCTCTCCATAGCGCACATCGCAGCCCTTGAATTCATTGCTGAGGAAGAAGGCAGTGCAACATCTGGGCGACATCTTTTTAGATGTTACATGGAGCATAACAAGTCATGCTGTGTCGAGTGAGGAACATGGTTTCCTGTAACCACAGTGATGCCGCAATCCAATCACACTTTCCGGAGGGGCAGAGCCAAATCTGCAACCCTTCTGAACACAGCAGCCAAGGCAGAAGGACAGCAGCCTGGAGCTGGTTCAGTGATCAGCCCTGATGGCAATGAGGCGAGCTTGGGTTCAATAGATACCCAGCTGCATCAGCCCCCTTAAACTTCTGGTAAACTCTGTTCAGAGCCATTGTGCTGACTGCTGGCAGAGGAACGCTCGAGGTGTCATTCCTGAGCGTGGGTGACATTTGGTGCTCCCCCTACCCATGACTCGGACTCCCATGCCTACTGCAAGCCATTGGCGCAGCAGCTCCTCCCCTCCCCCTGACAGTTGGCAGTAGGCACAGGAGTCAAGGGTGGCCGGTGTGCCATTGCCCCGTGCTCCCAGCTGGAGGAGGCAGGTGAGCAGGAAGGGGAGAGGAAAGAAGCAGGATTGGTGGGTTCATGCGCGGCTACCCCGCGCCTGGGAGGGCACCCTCTGCACCCCTTGGGAACAAGCCCACGCACACCTCGGGAACGCCCCCGCCCTGGTCCTCCACGGGCAGTGACAGGTTGGCTTACTATGAGAGACCTGCTCACAAGACAATGGGGGGGGGGTTGGGTTGCTCTGCTCATCAGTGACTCCACAGGGAATGTGACACAAAATGCCCCAGCTGCTCCTGGACATGATCTTCTGGAGAAAGCAGGTATGGATACACCATAATAGTTCACATAGCCTACAAGCCTGACACTCCAATTTTACAGACGAATGAGCTTCTGAAAATTAGATGGGAGGCTGACAGGCTAGTTTTCCAGGCCACCTTTTCCAGAATGATAGAAACCAAAATGTCCCCGCAATTAATGTGAACGCTAATATTTTCACCTATAACTCTGACTCTCGGCTGCTGCAGAACTTCATAGCTGTATGCTGTTTCCTACTGCTACATCAGTTTACATTAGACAAAAATCCAACCCAGTGACGCAGATGTAATTCTAGCTGACATGTTAACATGGAGTGTTTCCATATGAGCTATCAAAAGCCATTTTTACAGGAAGTTTTGGAAACCTGGGGACATCATCTTGTTTTACTGGGGCAAGCAAGTTCAGTAGTTCAAGTTCTACTATAGCTTAAGAAGTTGGAACTCTCCGTCTACTTCTACCATCAATTATTTAAAAACTAATGGTTGAAATTCTTCTAAGGATCAGAATTAATTATAAAGGAACTGAAATGTGTGTGTGCGTGCGTGCTCGTGCGTGTGTGTGCACGCGCACACACAGTCATGTACTAATAAGTTCTTATACATTTTTTAAAAACAGAATGTTTGCTCTGGCATGGGTCCAAAAGTCCCCTGCATCATTTCCACACACAAATGGAACTTGCCTAATTTTATTTTGCTCCTAACTGTGTTTAATTGTGTCGCTTGTAGGGCTTTCCAAAAGATTCCACATGGAAGAGACGCCTGAGGCATCAGGTTGCACAAGCAACCTAGTGGTTCCTCAGATTCCAGCCAGTGGCCAGTGTTAGCTCCAACATTTGGAGCCCCTTTGATAAGAGGTCATCCACTTCATGCCCACTTCTTCTCTGGTCGCGTCTGGCATGCCCTCCAGGTATCCCAATTTTCCAGGGACAGTCCAGGAATTACAGAAGCCACTGACGGCGGCAGCAGCACCAGTGAGGGAAATAGGGACATTCTGGGATCAAATCAGAAGCTGGGACATCTTTCATAATTCTGGGACTGTCCCTGGAAAATCTGGACACTTGGAGGGTATACAATACTGAACTAGATAGACGGCTTCCTATGTTCCTTTCTGTTTATCTAATATGCTTGAATAGAAAATAGCTTTGGCGGAGGGGAGCTTTAATGGTAACTAGTCCAAAATGTCAAATACTTACAAACAAAATGATAGGCTATATTATTGTCAATCTAGGCACTGCAAAATATTGGCAGGTATTGATTCAGCTTCTCATTTCTAAATTGCTATTCTTCCCCCCCCTGGTCTTTTTAAATTCTTTTTCGTTCATCTTCAACAACTTGGGCATAATATAGGACTGACTCTATAAACAAGTATGGCCCTCTTGACCTCCAGCCCCTTCTGGTAAATTCCATGGAAAAAGAATAGAAACTCAGAGCACAGATTCATTTTTTCCAGACGTATGTGACATTTTGGGCTTCTGTCCAGGCCTGAACACAGGGGCAGTTTTCTGTCTCTTTTGGCAAAATGAGAGGTTTTCTTGAACTTGTGAAAAAAAAAGATTCTTTGGAGACTACAAGCGCGTCTTTGTTTGTAAGCT